TCCTTCCCCTGGACTGGGGAGGAAATGGGGATTTTGCAGTATCCTTCCCCTGGAGTGTGGAGGAAATGGGGATTTTGCAGTATCCTTCCCCTGGAGTGGGGAGGGAATGGGGATTTTGCAGTATCCTTCCCCTGGACTGAGGAGGGAATGGGGATTTTGCAGTATCCTTTCCCTGGAGTGTGGAGGAAATGGGAATTTTGCAGTATCCTTCCCCTGGACTGGGGAGAGAATAGGGATTTTGCAGTATCCTTTCCCTGGAGTGGGAAAGGAATGGGGATTTTGCAGTAACTTTCCCCTGCCATGCCCACCAAGCCACGCCTTCAGAACCAGTAGTAAAAAAATTTGAATCCCACCACTGAGCTTGTGATACTGCATAACAAACTGAGGTCCTTCTTCAATCATTATTTTATTCAAAGAGGAAAATAAATAAATGGAAAATGATATGCTGTGTGGGAAGCTCCATTTTTGTTTCCAGAAATGCTTCTGTGACCTATCAAGAACCCACAGACATTCTTTATAAATTATTTTTTTAAAAATGTACGAACAATTTGGAGTTATCCACAACTGCCTTGGAGAAGTTACCTCAGGTGGTTGTGGTGGACAGAAAGTAGGAGGAAATTGTTTGTGCCACTTTGTCTTCTAATCAATGGGGGCTCTATAGACATTTGGTGATGATTTAAGCCCCTCACTCCATTGAGTAAGATTGGGGGAGTGTCCACAATTTTACTAGGTGAACCCAAAACAAGAAGAGTAAAAAAGCTGGAGCTTCTGGATTCTATCTGAGAACAAGTAATCGGAGGAGATACTCTCAGATATGTTCAGTGTCAAAATTATAGAGAACACAGGGGGATCCATTATACCCAAGATGATATACCCATCATCTTCTTTCTTTTAATGGCACCATAATCCTTTGCGGGGTGGAGTCTGGGCAACGGAATGGAGCTGAGTGTTTACTGACTGGATGCTTTTTCTGTCGCCAATGTGGAGTTTTGTTCGGCAGATACATTCCCATTCTGCCCAGAGAGAGAAATAGCTGCCTCTATCTAGGATCAAACTCTCACCCTCCTGATTGGGAGGCGAAAGCTCTACCTCTAGGCCACCACACCACTCCACCCAAACAATAGTCATATGGACTGGAAATTCAAGGGACTGAAATGCCTCCAAGTCTGGAGAGAAGTCGACTGGGGGGGAAATGGGCTAGATTCAATTATCTGTATTGTAATATTCTTATAATTATGGATGTTCTTGTATTTCTTATTTGCTTTCCAATGTTCATGATATGTCATAGCAGGCCGCAAAAATCCCCCATCTGGAGAGGTTCATATCTGGGTGAAGGATACCAAAGATCTCCCACAGTTACGCCCTTCAGGAGTGGATTCCTTTGTGAAATGGTAGGTGTGCCATTGGTGGGGTTCTGAACTTTCCTCTGGTGCCTGATTGAAGTTCCTGTTTTGAGCAACTGTGTTTGAAAAAAAAAATCCAAGGTTTGCTGGATGAGACAATGCAAATCCTGAGGGGGTCAGAGATCCTAGGGGTTGTAGACTCAGAGGGCATCGAGGTAAGGAAATATGTCCAATTCTGACATGAGAAAGATTGCAAAAATAATCTAATGGCTTTGGTTGAAGGATTGTGTCAGTTTGATGCATAAATTCAAATCCAGAAAGCACACATAGATAATTGATGCAGCAGGATTCATTAACTTCTTTATATATATATATAAGAATAGATGAATAAATGTACAATACCAACAGGTGGTTCTTCCAAGTAAACACAAGGCAGAAGAGTTACAGGCAAACACAAGCAGTTTGTTTCATTTCCGCAGACAAGCCAAGAAAGACTGCTTGTTTACTTCTCAGAGCAGTAGACTGCTTAAGTTTCTATTTCAATTCTCTGCACAAAATCAGATCTGTTTAAGCTCCCATTGGCTGACTTAGTTACTATGCCTATTCATTGGCTGACCTTGTTCCCATGTCTCTTCTGGTCATGAATATTTTAACAGATTGCTATACAGGTAGTCCTCAACTTACAATCACAACTGAGCCCAAAATTTCTGGTGCTAAGTGAGACATCAGTTAAGTCAGTTTTCCCCCATTTTATGACCTTTCTTGCCACAGTTATTAAGTTAAGCAGTGCAGTTGTTAAGTTAGTAACATGGCTGTTAAGTGAAGCTGACTTCCGCGTTGACTTTGTCAGAACATCGCAAAAGGTAATCACAAACCCGCAAGGACATCACAACCATCATAAATATGAGTCAGTTTGCCAAGCATCTGAATTTGGATTGCATGACTAGGCAACAGTCCTAAGTGTGAAAAACGGTCATATGTCACTTTTTTCAGTACTGTTGTAATGTCAAACGGTCACTAAATGAAAGGTCGTAAATCAAGGGAGACCCATACCTACCAAACCAGGAAATCTCTATAGCAGTGATGGCTAACCTTTTTTGTTTTTGTGTGCCAAAAGCACAGACGTGCAACCGCACCAATAATGCAATGCACGTGCGACACCCCTCCTGCGTGAATGTGCATGTGCCCCCCTGCACTGCCCCTTCCCCTCCACATGCACGTGCGCCCTCTGCGCCTTCCCTTGCAGTGTGCGCACGACACCACCACCACCCCCGCACATCCTTTTGGAGCTAGCAGGTCTCCCTGAAGCCTCCTGGGACCAAAAATGGGCTGGGAGGCGCATGAGCATAGCAGGCCTCCCTGAAGCCTCCTGGGAGCAAAATCAGGGCATTGGGGGCATGCCACAACCCCTGGGCATGTGCGTGTGTCTCCCACATACATGGCAGAGACCCAAAAATCAACTGGCCACATACACGGCAGAGACCCGAAAATCCACGCATGCAAGGTGGAACTGAGCTGGGGCGCCGGCTCATGTGCCCACACAGAGGACTCTGTGTGCCACCTGTGGCACACGTGCCATAGCTTCGCCGTCACTGCTCTATACTATTGGATTTTGTTATGGCTATGAACCCAGCCTTAGCCAAGTACCTCTCCATTAGAGTAGTCTCCCTATTTATCCCATATGGAGCTAATGATTATTTTGCTGGACTCTTAAAGCAAAAGAGGCACTCTAGCACTTTGAAAACAGGAAAGGAAATGTTGACGATCAGGAAGCCCTTGAAAAGGGTGGACATTCCACCAGAGCCAAAATGCTGGTCTTCTTCTTTTTAAGTTACGTGCTTCCGGACACCAGCAAGAAAAGTTATCAAAAAACCCGAATTGTCAAGAGAGACTCCAACCCCGTCTTCAACCACACCATTGTGTACGATGGGTTTCACACGGAAGATCTGAAGGATGCCTGCGTGGAGCTGACAGTCTGGGATCATGAAAAACTGACCAATCACTTTCTCGGAGGGATCCGACTAGGACTCGGCACAGGTAGGTGATGCTGTCTGAGTCTATTTTGTTTCCTTTCATTCTCCTGTGATAGTTGCCTTAACAGGCTTGGGATCAAGATCCCGTGAAGGATTAGCACCGCTTTATAAAATCTTAAGGGAACGGGTGGCTCAGGGACTAAGATGCTGAGTTTGTCGGCAGTTCGAATCCCTAGTGCTGCGTAACGGAGCATTACTTGTCCCAGCTTCTGCCAACCTAGCAGTTTGAAAGCACGTAAAAATGCAAGTAGAAAAATAGGCACCACCTTTGGTGGGAAGTTAACAGCGTTCCATGCGCCTTTGGCGTTTACTCTTGCCGGCCACATGACCATGGAGACATCTTCGGACAGCACCGGCTCTTCGGCTTTGAAATGGAGATGAGCACCGCCCCCTAGAATCGGGACGGACTAGCACAGATGTGCAAGGGAAATCTTTACCTTTACCTTATAAAATCTTAGTAAGACTACACTTAGAATACTGCATGAGTTTTGGTCACCCTACTATAAAAAAGATGTAGATACTCTGGAAAAGAATGCAGAAAAGAGCAACGAAGGTGATTAGGGGGCGGGAGGCTAAAAGATATGAACAACGGTTGCAGGAACTGGGTTTGTCTAGTCTAGTGAAAAGAAGGACATGGGTTGACATGGGCTGCCACAAAGAAGAGGGGGTCAATCTATTTTCCAAAGCATTAGAAGGCAAGACCAAAAAAAAAAAAAAACCCACAATGGATGGAAATTAATCAAGGACAGAAGAAGGTCACCTCT